ATATAATTCACCTCCTCCATGGATACCAGATTTTTGACCGTCTCAATAATGACCTACAACGCCTACGATCGACTCGGTGTAAACGAACATCTCGGCTCTAGAAAGATTGTTGGACCTCAAGAATTCGAGCATGGCATCTACCTCATCCTGAGTGGTTATGAGATATTCCTCGTGCCACAACGACCCGCCTTCTCTGTTTGGATATCGGTACACTTGATAAACTGTTAATTGCACATGTTTTTACCCCCTATTCTTGAGCCGTTTGAGATGTTGATTCTCGTGTTTTAGGCCGATTTCACGCTAGGTTGTGCTAGTTTGTGATATTTCAGGCCCTAGTACATGAATGAAGGTTTGGGAGCGAGTTCGGGGTCGATTGGACGAAGATTGGACGTGTGGCGAGACGCCGAGGAAGCCACATGGGCACTCCTAAAACCCACACGGGCGTGTAAAAAACCCATGTGGCCGTGTGGGATTTACCGAGGCTTCATACGGTCATACTGGAGATTCCACACGGCCGTGTGTCCCTGGCCGTGTAGGTAGCCTGCAGTCCACTTAATCGAAACTCAGTGTTTTGGCACTCACACGGGCAGCTGGGTAAGCCACACGGCCGTGTGGCCTGCCCGTGTGAGTCGGGAATTCTGGGTTTTAACCCAATTTCGAGCCACAAGTGAAGGGATCAACTTTTGAGAGCAAAAACAGAGCCCTAGAGAGAGAGAAAGTGCGAAGAGCTCACCTAGAAGCGATCTTGGAGTTGGGTTTCATCAAATCGAGCTTGGAGATCATCATAGGAGTGAAAATCATCATCCCAGAGCAGATTCTTCCCATTGTTATGAGTATGACTGCTTTGTATTCTGTTTTTTTCTCTCTCTCTCTCTATGGAGTAGAACCTTCTCTCACTTGGGTATGAAGAACCCTAGTTCCATTTGTTAGGGATCATGATTGTAATGACTTGGAATTGCTATACTGTTTGGTTTTGATCGAATGATGCATGATTCATTGAATTGATTGAAGTCTGATCAGCTTTTCTTGATTTCTGCTGCAACCTGAGATAGATAGAATCTGATTTGGTTGTTAGAGCTTCATCTTTCGGCAGTAGTAGATTGGCTATACGAGAGTTAGTCAGTCTACTGCTTTGTAATGGAATCCAATTCCAGTAGTGGAGTTCTGTGCTTACTGCTTCAGCTTTCTATCCCGGTGAAGACTAGTCGTCTGCCGGATAGTTAGACTGAGATGGCTTGGTCAGCTTAAGAGATTCCAAGCTACTGTCGGATCTTCCGTAGTTTAATCAACAGTAAATCAATTCATGATAATTACAACTGAGACCTAACTAAGGAGCTAGGGGGTCTCATTCCCGAGTGACTCTTCCTTTGCTTTAGAAAACCGAATCATTTCCTGCTTTCTTACTGCTTTTAGTTAAAAAAACAATCACTCGCCTTAGTTTGCTAGATAATAAATAATCACGGAGTAGGCAGTAGATCTAGACCCCGGGTTGATAATTAGAACTTGCCACTTTACTGCATTCCTGCACTGCGATTACACTTGGCCGCAGTTTGGTGTTGTGTCGTAGCGTGTCAAGTTTCTTGGCGCCGTTGCCGGGGACCCTCTAGGTTATTAGGGAAACGTGAAAATTGTTACTCTAGCTTTTTCTTTATTGCATTTTATCTCTTCCACCTGTGTGCCTTCACGGGTTGCTTCTGCTGATTGTGTGCAGGTAGTGCATGACCCGTAGCCAGTCGAGAGATCTACTACCATTAGACCAGGGGCTTGAACGAACCTGCAGGAACTTCAAGCGGGCTCTAAAGGCGCGACTGGATGCGGAGGAGGCGCTAGCACAGCTAGAAATCGCCGACGAAGAAGAGATGGGTGATCCACAGAACCATGATGCGGTCCTTCCTGAGGAGCAGACCATGGGATACTACTGGACTGCCAGGGCCACGGACATGAGGTCGCCCATTAAACACCCTCATGTGCCAGCAAATAATTTTGAGGTGAGCACCTCTGTCATCACAATGCTACGCGGTTCGGTGGTGTTCCGTGGCAAAGAGGGGGAGTGTCCCCGATCACATCTGAGGCGATTCCACGAGCTCATCGATGGAATCTAGATAAATGGGGTCCTAGCCGATGCCATCCAGCTGAGGTACTTCCCATTTACCCTGGAGGGGCAGGCCAATGATTGGCTAGACACTCGACCTCCAGGCTCTATCACCACGTTCGCCAATCTGGCGGACAAGTTCCTCACTCGCTACCATCCCCCGTCCAAGACGACGGCCCTGCAGAAGCAAATTACCCACTTTCCTCAGGATGAAGATGAGACCATCCGGGATGCTTGGGAGAGATACACCAGTCTATTCCTCAAGTGTCCCAACCATGGTTTTACCGACGCCTTCAAGGTGGGCACTTTCTACCATGCCCTCTTCCCGGAAGACAAACAGCTGATTGACTTGGTCTGTGGCAGGATTATGCTCACCAAAACACCGCCACAGCTGAATCAAATTTTTGAAGAGATGGCAGAGCAGGGCTATGACTGGGGAACTGCAAGGAGATCGAGACGAGCACCAGGACGGGGTATGCATGCTGTAGCCACCCAGTCATCTGATTTGGTGCAGGTGGTATCGAAGCTGGTTTCAGCCCTCGATCGTTCCGGGATGATTGCAGGTACAGGACAGCAGCAGGCGATGCTCTGCCAGTGGTGCGAGAGCACCCATCATACTGTGGAGGAATGCCATGCCATGCGTGAGTCTAGTACACCCCAGGAGCAGGTGAACTTCATCAACAATGTCCGGCGCAACGACCCCTACAGTAACACCTACAATGAGGGATGGAGCCAGCATCCAAACTTCTCCTGGAGTGGCAACAGCAATCCGAAGCCACATGGCTTCCAGGCTCCTAGCACTAGCTTTCCAAACCAGAGGCAGCCATACCAGCCACGCCCTGGCCAGATGCAGCAACAATAGCCACTCTATCAGCCCATACAGGGGCAGGCTTTTCAACAGCCCCCACAGCAGCAGTACCAGCAACCTGGTGCACCTCCATCAGTCCCAACACCGGGCGATCCCGTGTCAGAACTAAGGGATCTAGTGACTACCTTGGCCAGCACTAGTACCCAAAAGTTCAACAAATTGGAGCAATTCATGGAAGTGGCTGCAGGTAAATTCATGGAAATTGAAGCTGACCAGAGAAACCAGCAGGCACTCCTGCAGGATATGGATACCAAGATCGGGCACATGGCAGATGCCCTTGCTTCCCGACCGGCTGGCACACTTCCTGGCCAACCCCTACCAATCCTAGAAATCACAAGGAGGGGTTGCACGCCATTATGCTGCTAAGTGGGACTGTGACTGCGGATGCACCGCAGAAGAGTGCCAAAAAGGTGACCCAGATCACCCCTGAGCCGGAAGAAGACCTAGTGATGGAAAAGGAGCCAGAGGATCAAGCTCCAAAGCCAAAACCTGTAGTGGCTGAATATAAGCCTAAGCTCCCTTTTCCCACCAGGATTCACAAAGACAGGCTAGAGGCAGAGTTTGGCAACTTCTCGTCCATGCTTAGGAAGCTACATGTTCAAATACCCTTCATGGAGGCGCTAGCTCAGATGCCTAAGTATGCGAAGTTCCTGAAGGAGCTTCTCTCAAAGAAGCGGAGGCTGAGCGAGCTGGCCACTGTGGAGCTCAGTGAGGAGTGCTCGGCCATTCTGTAGAACAAGCTTCCGCAGAAGCAGAAGGACCTAGGTAGTTTCACTATCCCGTGCTCTATAGGTAAATTGCATGTAGAGAGGTCCTTGGCGGATCTAGGTGCTAGTATTAATGTGATACCATATAAATTGTTCAAGAAACTAGGCCTAGATGAACCCAGTGCAACTAGGATGAGTATTCAACTAGCTGACCGATCTATAATTCACCCTAGGGGCATGGTGGAAGACCTTCTGGTTAAGGTTGGCAGATTCTTTTATCCTGTGGATTTTGTTGTTTTGGACATCAATGAGGACACAGAAGTGCCACTTATACTGGGAAGGCCTTTCCTGGCCACCGCCAAGGCCCTTATAGATGTGCATGACGGGACCTTAGTCTTGAGGGATGGCGAGGAGAAAAAAAACGTTTTCCATTGCTAATGCTCTTTCTGCTTCATCACCATTGCATGCGGTTTCTCACCAGGAGCACGAGTCTGTCGTGTATCCGTCTGTGCTTCCTATTTTGCAGGATTCCCCTCCCATACCTTCGCCGCCACTCCCGTCCACGCCGTTACCAAAGGAAAAGATCAGGGAGGAGTGGCGGCCGAAACTGCAGGTAACTAAGCCTGCTCACAAGGAAGTCGGAGACCACTATGAGCGGGTCCCGCTTTCTGAGCCTCGACCACCCTGGCCATCCGAGTATTCACTCGCTTGCATCCTGCCGGATGGCCAAGTCGAGTTGATGAGTGCTGGTGGCCACATTCGCCGTGTGCATGGCCACCATCTGAAGTTGTACCTCAAGAGCGATGTGGATCCGCTCTTGAAGGCACCCGCGCCTACACCTCTCTGAGCATCCACCTACTGGAGTCCAGCTAAAAGACGGTAAAGAAGCACTTGTAAGGAGGCAACCCCACCTAGGTTTGCATTTTCTTCCTTTTGATTTTTTTGTGTTTTTGAGTCTTGAGGTGTTGTCCAAGAGTCGTATGTCAATTTAGAGTGAAAACAGGTAAAATTCAGAGTTCTGGCAGCCCACACAGCCAGCCCTAAAAGTCACACGACCGTGTGGAAATGGATTTTGGCCGTGTGGAGGCCCTAGACATTTCACACGGGCATGAGGAGTCCCTCACATGGCCGTGTGGTTTTCGCCTTTGGCCGTGTGAAGGCTTGGCAATTTCCACACGGCCAGTTTTGCATTTCACACGGCCGTGTGGAAATCCTCGGCCAGGCCGTGTAGGCCCACGCGGGCGCTATTGCACCTCACACGACCGTGTGAGCGTGCCCGTGTGGCCGAGCACGTGCCTATATATTTGGCCGACACGGCCGCGTGGTCAGAAAACTCACCTCCCCTTGCCAGAATCCTCTCACCCTTGCCGAAAAACCGCGATTTTCAAATCTTTTGGGCAATTTTCGACCATTTTTGGTCGGTTTTTCAACAACCACCACCCAACCCAGCCTTTCCTCCCCATTTTCGGTCTATCCCTCGATTTTGAGTCGCCAGAGGCGATTTCCGGCGAGACTCCGGCGAGGCTCCGACGAGCAATTTCTGGGCATATTTTGAGATTTTCGTCACTTCCATTGCCTTCCCCTCATCATCCCCTACACCTCTACTTATGTCTCCAGGTTTGATTTTACCCTTAACCTTGTGAATTGTGGAGAATTGGGTGTTAGGGTGTATGTTTAGAGAACAACTTTGTGTTGTGTGATTTGTGTGCAATTGATTGAGGGGAAGGCTTGGTTTATGTGTGAATGAGGTTGGGAAATGTCCCTCTTGCTTGATTGAGCCCTTGTGTGCTATGAATTTGTCAATTTTATGCTTAACTTAATAATGCACACAAGGTGTTCGATGAAATGCCTGTTTTCATACCATTTTGTGGGAGCCGGTTGGGGCCCTTAATGATGTGCTTTGAGGGTGTATTTACTATGGATGTGAAGCTTAAGTTGCCTACTTTATCATGGATGTGCACCCCCACCCAGATTATGCTTGTTTATCGAGTTATTGACCCCCGAACTATGGATGAAACCATGGTTCGGCTGTTTTCTGCTTTCAAGTGTGGGGGTGTGATTATTCTTTTCTATGGCTCTTTTGGCTCCACTTTGGGTTGTTCTTTTGCAGGACCATGACGAAACCTGAACTCAAGCACCCGTTTGTCAGGGATTTGAAGAGGGCCCCCACCTTGATCGGTTTAAGCGCGTCATGGCGGTCCAGGCGGGAGTTTGAGAAGCTGAACTGCTACGACCACTTCTCCGCCATTGTCACCAACCGCCCTTGGCGCCGTCTGCTATCCATTCGCGAGACAGTTTACCACGAGCTCGTGCTGGAGTTCTATACGACCTTTAAGCACGAAGAGACTGAGGATGGGGCAGACGATGAAGCCGTCAAGTTCCGTCTCGGCGGTGCGCCCCGCTCCATGAGCTACCACGACTTGGCGACCGCTCTCAAGCTCGACCTGGACGATGACAGGGAATACGTCACCGAGCTCAGCGATCCGGTGGGGGTGAACTTCAAGATGCTGTACACCCGCCTCGCTCAGCTCGGCCAGCGTCCCTTCGTTGCAGGGCGGACGAAGGTCAGCACCCTGCAGCTCGATAACCGCATTCTCCACCACTTACTGGCGAAGTCCTACACTCCAGCCGGGGAGAGTTCCAGTACCATCACCGGGCGAGCGCTGTATTTCATCCAGTCCATGCGCCAGGCGGACCATCTTCTCCACCTGGGTTCTGTGGTAGCCAGAACCTTTACCAAGACTGCTTCAGAACTGAAGAGCCTCCACTGCGCTCCCCTCATCACCCGCCTGGCCACCTACTTCCAGATTTCTCTGCAGGGGTGCACGGAGCAGGGGGGCACTAGTGCTTTCGGCGAGGACGCGGTCAAGAGTATGCACCTGCTGCGAGTGGATCGGGGCGTCAAGTGGATCGAGGGATTTCCTCAACCTCAGATCCCAGCGGAGGACCAGCTAGATGCTCCTGAGGACGAGGCTGATGAGGATGTCCACCCCGAGGATGTGGATGATACTGCTGCCGCCCGCCCGACCACCTTCGAGTACGGGGGTAGCAGTTCCACCTTTCCATCACAAGACTACTTTGCCCACCAGTTCCAGCAGCTGAGCATCCAGAATCAGCAAATCATCGACCATTAGCTCCAGTTCCAGCAGCAGTACTCGGCTCACCAGGCCGAGTATCAGAACCGGATGGCTGCATATAATGAGCGCCTGGACCGCATGGAGACCTAGCAGGGGGTGACTCTAGCTCACATCGAGCGGGAGAAGGCCCGCTCTCTGCGTATGCAGGAGGTCCAGCAGCACCTGCTCCAGCTGATACCGGGCGAGCAGCCAGTCTGGAGGACTCCTTGGGAGGACACTCCCATACCACCCCGGCCGCCGACGATGACGCCTTCATGAACGACATCGACTTCGACAACCTTGGCGACAAGTAGGTTGTACTCGTCGTCCCTCAGAGTGTGTTTTTGTTTTAGACTTTTTATGTTTGCTTCATGTGTTTGAGGAGCTTGAACTGCGTCTGTCGTTTGTTTTTGTACTTTTGGTTTTCTTTTGTGGATTGTCTTTGGTGTGACCATCTGGGCCACCCTGATCCCTAACGCACAGTGTGCTAGTGTGTTCTTGTTATTCCCTTCGTGCAGAACGGTCTGTTCGTTCCATTTGTTCCTCGCTGACTGGTCCACTTCCAGTCTCCTGGCAGTATTTCAATCCGGTAACATCGTTCCCCTTATCTTTCCCTCTGCTCCATTAAGGGCAATGTCGTGCTTAAGTGTGGTGGGGTGTTTATCTATTGTTGACTGCTAGATGAGTTTGTGTGCTTGGAGCCTAGTCCACTGTCCAATTTGACGAATTGAGGGCTCCAAGTACTGTTCCCTGCAAAATCCTGCTCAGTATGCTTTGAATTGACAGTCTTTATGGTGATATGCAACCTAGGGAGGTAGTTGTAGCACTATGGAGGATGTTGAAGTATAAGATTTTTCCTATCTGTCTCTCTGCTGTGCCGGTTGATTAATGTGGTATTGATGACTCTTCTTATGTTGTGTTGTGGACCCTCCACACGAGTTGAGGAAAAGGAGTTAAAAGAAGTACTCTGGCGAGCGCCAGATGTACAAAAATTGCTCTTGCTCGACTAATAAGAGTTGACCGTGCAAAAGACTGCAGTTGGAACTCCCGCCAAGTGAATGAAAAGAAAAAAAAAAGAGTAAAATGAAAGTGAAAAAGGGATTCCAACGGTGAAATGACGTGAAAGAGCACCTCGGTACAACGAGTCCTTGGTTGTGAATGGTGAGAGTCTCCTTATCCATGAATTGACTGTCTTAGTTCCACTGCTTCTCATGATCCTGGCTTGAGTCTAGTACTCGCATTGAGAGAGATAGGATGCGTCTTAGAAGACCAATTGACCTCGTAAGTTGCTAAATGATCTAGAAAATCCTCTGCCGACGATCGTGGTTGCATGTTGCTATAGAGGTCTGGAGAGTTGCATTGCTTTGAGTTAGGTTTGCTTGGGGACAAGCAAACGGTTAAGTGTGGGGGAGTTTGATAAACCGTTAATTGCACAAGTTTTTACCCCTATTCTTGAGCCGTTTGAGATGTTGATTCGCGTGTTTTAGGCCGATTTCACGCTAGGTTGTGCTTGTTTGTGATATTTCAGGTCCTAGTACGTGAATGAAGGTTTGGGAGCGAGTTCGGGGTCGATTGGACGAAGATCAGACATGTGCCGAGACGCTGAGGAAGCCACACGGGCACTCCTAAAACCCACATGGCCGTGTAAAAAAGCCATGTGGCCGTGTGGGATTTACCGAGGCTTCACACGGTCATACTGGAGATTCCACACGGGCGTGTGTCCCTAGCCGTGTAGGTAGCCTGAAGTCCACTTAATCGAAACTCCGCATTTTGGCACTCACACAGGCAGCTGGGTAAGCCACACGGCGGTGTGGCCTGCCCGTGTGAGTCGGGAATTCTGGGTTTTAACCCAATTTCGAGCCACAAGTGAAGGGATCGACTTTTGAGAGCAAAACCAGAGCCCTAGAGAGAGAAAGTGCGAAGAGCTCACCCTAGAAGCGATCTTGGAGCTGGGTTTCATCAAATCGAGCTTGGAGATCATCATAGGAGTGAAAATCATCATTCCAGAGCATATTCTTCCCATTGTTATGAGTATGACTGCTTTGTATTCTGTTTTTCTCTCTCCCTCTCTCTATGGAGTAGAACCTTCTCTCACTTGGGTATGAAGAACCCTAGTTCCATGTGTTAGGGATCATGATTGTAATGACTTGGGATTGCTATACTGTTTGGTTTTAATCGAATGATGCATGATTCATTGAATTGATTGAAGTCTGATCAGCTTTTCTTGATTTCTGCTGCAACCTGAGATAGATAGAATCTGATTTGGTTGTTAGAGCTTCATCTTTCGGCAGTAGTAGATTGGCTATACGAGAGTTAGTCAGTCTACTGCTTTGTAATGGAATCCAATTCTAGTAGTGGAGTTTTGTGCTTACTGCTTCAGCTTTCTATCCCGGTGAAGACTAGTCGTCTGCCGGGTAGTTAGACTGAGAGGGCTTGGTCAGCTTAAGAGATTCCAAGCTACTGTCGGATCTTCCGCAGTTTAATCAACAGTAAATTAACCATGGATAATTACAACTAAGACCTAACTAAGGAGCTAGGGGGACTCATTCCCGAGTGACTCTTCCTTTGCTTTAGAAAACCGAATCATTTCCTGCTTTCTTACTGCTTTTAGTTAAAACAACAATCACTCGCCTTAGTTTGCTAGATAATAGATAATCACGGAGTAGGCAGTAGATCTAGACCCCGGGTTGATAATTAGAACTTGCCACTTTACTGCATTCCTGGACTGCGATTACACTTGGTCGCAGTTTGGTGTTGTGTCGTAGCGTGTCAATACCATACGATCAACTCTTCTCGTGCCATCCATGCAAGTAACGTTAGTACACATTTGATAGAGGTCTTCAAGCATCAGTCTGGTAGCGACCTTTATTTTCTGAAAATTGCCACCGACGTAGGTGACCCCCTTTTCTCTCTCTTCCGTGTAACCATTCCACCGTAAACCAAACGTGAACTTTTGGAATGCCATCTGCAAAAAAAACAGTAGTTCAACTAATATCATAAAAATCACAATTCACAATAAAAAGTAATACAAAATAAACTTACTAGTTAACGTTAACCGCAAAAACACTAGAGAAATAGGGAGCTACAATAGAAAATTGAAAAGGGAGAAGGAGAGGTGTGAAGAGAAGAAGAGTTCTCGGGCTGCCTTTTATAGGCAAAATCATCAATGAAAACCGCACCTTAGAGGTGCGTTTTTCATCTGCCATGCAGCCCCACGTCTATAAATCTGCATGGCTGCTTGTCTGGTGTCGGAAAATAATTGACACACAAACCGCATTGGGGGGGGGGGGGGTGCAGTTTGTGTTGCCAAAACCACACCTTGAGGGTGCGGTTTGTTTTGGAGAAGCAAAACCGCACCCCCAAAGTGAGGTCTTGCTAGGTCAGGCCTAGACCACATCTGGGCCATGCGGTTTGGTTAGGTCAAACCGCATGGCCAAGATGCGGTTTTGGCCCAGAAAATTAAACCGCACCCGGTTTAGTGACAAAACGCACTAGGGAGGTGCAGTTTACATGCAAAACGCACCTGGGGGCGCGGATTATAAAAAAGGGTGCTATTTTTGTAATTTCTACTAAATGGGTGCAATTTTTGTAATTTTTTTTAAAGGTGCTATTTCTGGAAAAATCCTTAAAAGCTCTATGCACGAGCTATCCCTTTATAAATGTGAAAGGAGTACCGTGACATCCACAGTGGTGGTAGTCACGCAAAACATTCCAACCAAGTTGAACTCGGATCCGAGGATGATCTCGAGGTATCCAACTAGTTTGAAAGGGCTACGGCAGGATACAATTTGGGATCGCATAAGCATCATACATACTCTCCATTACTCATTTAAGTCAATATAATAAAATTCATTGGTCAGGTTTCCTTAAAATTGCCCATCCACCAGGAAAAAGTCAAGACTTCAGGTACTTAACTAGATCCAAGCTCGAGTTCGTCATGGAGGCATTTCAAAAAGAGTTGAACGACATCAAAGGAAAACTGACAGGGTTTGATGAGAAGTTAGTGGGGTTCGATGAGAAACGAACTGGCTTCAATGAGATGAAAAGCCAGCTCAACACAATACTGAGCATATTGTCAAAAAAGGGGAAGAAGGCTGCAACAAACGAGGAGGAAATCGTATTTGACGACGACGATCACGATGAGCAACCTCAGGGAAAGGTCTCGGGTAGTAAATTCATCCTCATACCTTCGAAGAACATAGGCGACAAAGGTGACATTGGGTCATCGAAGCATGAAAAATCTAGAGAACCCGAGAAGCAAGAGGAACATAAAATCGAAGCTATGTTAGAAGAAAAATTAGAACATATGAATGAACGAATAAGAAGCATAGAAGGAGTTGAACCGTACGAGCCTATGGACACATCAAAACTATGTCTAGTCCCATATGTCGTGATTCCTCACAGGTTTCAAATGCCAGAATTTGAAAGATACAATGGCACCACTTGCCCAAAAAGTCATCTGGTCATGTACTGCAACAAAATGGCCAACCATATCCGAGATGAAAGGCTAATGGTATATTGCTTCCAAAACAGCCTGAGCAGTTCTGTCCTACGATGGTATATGCAACTAGAGAAAACAAAAGTGAGAAGATGGCAAGACCTAGCCGATGCATTCATGAGGCACTACAAGCATAGCCAGGATCTGGCTCCAGACTGAGAAGATCTAAGGAATAAGGAAATGAACGAGAAAGAATCTTTCAGAGAATATGCTCAAAGGTGGAGAGAGAAAGCTGCAGATGTTCAACCTCCACTGTCGGAAAAGAAGATGGTGTCGATCTTCTTCAGAACACTAAGGGCTCCATACTACAACAACATGGTCGGAATTACCACAACCAACTTTGCGGATCTGCTTGTAATCGGAGAGCGAACAGAAAAAGGTTTGAAGCAAGGTCGGATGGAAACTCCAAAAGCCTCTAAGAAACCACACCAAGCCCGAAGAGGAGAAGCAGACGCCCATTATGCTCAAACAAGAGAGATGCGATGGGATCATCAACCTCGGGCCAATCAAGCCCATCCATGTGTTGCAAATGCTGCAATAATTAATCAACGTACAAATTTTCCTACTCAACGAGCCATCCAGAGCCCAACACGAGTCGCACCACCACCAAATAACCAAGACGAGAATAATTATGAGAGATACAGGAAACCCATCCAAATCGATCCTATCCCTATCACATACACTGAACTTTTCCCTTGGTTGATTCAAAGTAACCTAAATTATGCGAGCGATAAACACCCTACTGGTGTTGAGAGTATACGTGTTTCGCTAAAAATCGAGAGATAAACACCCTACTGGTGTCCATAAATTATGCGAGCTAATATTCAAAAGGTGTAATGAGTATACGACATCATGCTACTTGCAGAAACCCGTCACCACTATAGTCAACTTTTGAGGCTCAGTCTACGAGAAGTCAAATAGCCAAATCCCGATGCACAGGGAGCCAAACATTAGCATCATACCCAAAAAAAAACCTTCCTAGAGTCTCGTGACTACAATATCGAGGAAGATCAAGGATATAATTTATCATGCAAAGGAATCGCACGCAGGAAGCAGTCATGTCCTCGGTTCAGGAGCTTACATCCTTATAGGCGGAAAGCGTCCATTAAACTCACACGTCAAAGTCTGATTGAGAGATATTTGTGCAATACCGTCAAGCAAATAGCATCAGCATCCCCACTTTTACCAAAAAGAATAGCCAATTTAATCTAGTTATTGAGAAGTGGCACTCACATCATAGATCATTAAGAAGACTCTCTACCTTTCGTTAATCGTCCTACCAAATACAAGTGCTAGATCAGGTAAAATGTGAAACGTATAGGGGGGCATGACAGAGTCAAGTAAGTCCCGCACAAAAAAAAGCGAAAAGGAAAAAAAAAGCAAAGAAAAAAAGAAAAACAAACAAAATGTCGTGGGACTTACAATCTAGGTGCCCCCGGTTTAGCATTTGAAGTACCAACTATCTGTGCCAAGCCAAGATCTTTGCCAATCAACCTCAAGATACATTAATGAGGACCTTCAAGCAAGAAA